CGGAGCCGGAGCCGGAGCCGGAGCCGGAGCCGATGGAGCTCGACCCGGAGGCCCAGGCCGAGCTGGAGAAGAAGCAGGCCGCCGATGCCCTCAAGGCCCGGGGGACGGAGGCCTACAAGAGCCGGGACTTCGCCACTGCCCTCAGCCTCTACAAGCAGGCGTGGGACACTTACCCGAAGGATGTGGCCTACCTGGGGAACCAGTCTGCCGTGCACTTTGAGACCGGGGACTTTGAGGAGTGCATCCGGGTGTGCCTGCAGGCGGCCGACCTGTCGACGGAAATCCGCACGGATTACGCGCTGCTGGCGCGGATCCTGGCTCGCGCTGGCAATGCCGCCCTCAAGCTGGATCGCCTGGAGGATGCCATCGAGTACTTCAAGCGTGCGCAGACCAACTCCCGCAACCGCCAGGTGGCCATCCAGATCCAGGAGACCACCAAGAAGCTGGAGAAGCGCCGCGCCGAGGCCTACCTGAGCCCGGAGATCTCGGACCAGGAGCGCGAGCGGGGCAACGCCCTGTTCAAGGACTCCAAGTTCAAGGAGTCGGTTGACGCCTACAGCGAGGCCATCAAGCGCAATCCCAAGGACCCGCGCAACTGGTCCAACCGGGCTGCCTCCTTCATCAAGCTCATGGCCCCGAATGAGGCCCTGCGCGATTGCGAGGAGGCCCTGAAGCTGGATCCCACCTTCAGTACGTGTCCCCCCCCCCCCCTCCCGCGGGCGGCCGCGCATGACTCTCCCTTCCTTTTTTTTCTCCGCTCCGCCCCCCCTCCCTCCCACTGACCCTTTCCCTTTCTCCGACTTCCCCCCCCCCCCCCTCAGTGCGCGCCCACCAGCGCAAGGTCAATGCCCTGATGATGATGAAGAAGGAGGCCGATGCCCTGACCGCCATCAGCGAGGCCATGCAGGCCGACACCTCCGGTGCCAGCCACCCGCAGTTCATGCAGCTCCGCATGCAGGCCCTGACCGAGATCAACCGCCAGTCCCAGGCTGACCCGGAGGCCGTCAAGCAGCGCATCGCCAACGACCCTGAGATCCAGGGGATCCTCAACGACCCGACCATGCAGCTGATCCTCCAGCAGGCGTCCACCGACCCGGCTGCCCTGCACGAGCACATGAAGAACCCCACCGTGGCCAACAAGATCAACAAGCTCATTGCCGCGGGTGTCATCCGCACGGGCTAGAGATCCCCCGCCGAGCCGGTGGGAGTGTACATACACACGCACAACCACATATATGCACATACGCACACGTACACGACCGGAGAGAGGTGTCTTGCCCTCCCACGGGGGGGGGGGGCGGGGCACAGGTGCATGGTTTGTTGCTTTTGGGTGTCGCCCCCTTTCTCCCTCCCGTGTCTGCTCCTCCCCTCCCTTGCTCCCTTTTCATTCCTCACAGTGCCGCGCACAATACACCCCCCCCCCTCACATAGTAGCGCCCTTGTACGAGGCTGGCCCTCTTTCCGGGTTCTGTCGCATGCGCCGCACCTTTCCCCGGCTTTCCTGTGCCTGTGCCTTTTTTTGCCGGGTTCTCCCCCTGCCCGTCCTCCCCTTGCTGGGCACCTGCTCCCCTGCTGGAGGCTGGCCGCGGCCGGCATCAGAGGTGGGCAAGCGCCCTGCATGGGGCTACGTTGCACGGGTGGGCACGCTTGATCGGGCGGGGGGGGGGGTGGTTTTGGGGTGGGGGGGGGGGGCGGGTGGTGTGGGCGTGCCAACGCACTCAAAGCCCGGGCCGGGAATTCGTCGGCACTCCGAGTGGGTTTTACGCGGCGCACGGCACGCGCCCCCCCCCCCCCCCCCCGCCCCGCCCCTCCGCTCCCTTGTCTCAGGGGACGGGGGCCGGCAGGGCGCTGGCGTGCCGGTACCGGCCTGCCCCCGGCCCAGGCGCGACCCATGGGGTGTGGAATGTCAGGGGATGTGGGCAAGCGCCCGGGCCCCAGGGCGGGGACACCCGTCTGGCTGACGCGCCCGCGCGCGGCCAAGCCTAGCAAGCCACGGCGCCTTGGTCGGCCCGCGGGCAGTCGCCCCCCCCCCCCTCCTCGTACGGGCGGCGTGTGGAGCGGGCACGGCCGGGTGTGCCGTTCATTGGAAGCCGCCCGCTCGCCACACGTCCCATTGGAGTGCCCTGGTCTGAGGGTAGACCTGCCGCCGAAAGACTCCGTTGGCGGGGGCCCTGGGCGGGGCCGGGGGACAGCGTGAAAGGGATTTTCACGCTCCCGTCGCTGGTCGGCTGGGAGATCCGCCACGGCCTCGCTTAGTGATGGCGGCCGCTCTGTACCCAAGGGCGCCGGGGCGGGTGAAAGCGTGCCGGTGTGTGCCGCAGGAGACCCCCCTTCAACGGGAGGGCGGGGCGGGGGGGCGGACACTACTGCGCCGGAGGCAGTCGTGTCGGCCCTCCCCACGCGCGTGTGCACGCGCGCGCGGGGTGGCGGCGCCGCGGGCATTGTCTCTCTCCCTCTCCTACACATGTGCCTGATTGGGAGGCCCTCACGGCCCTGGGATAATCCCCGGACCCGGCTGCTGCGCGTCGGGCCGAGATGGGCTGATGTATTCCCCCCCCCCCCGCCCCCCCGTGCCCGGCCTTCGGCCTCGCGCAGACACGCCCCGCTCCTCCAAGCTCACTTTGCTCGGCCCAGGGGACGCAAACCGCCGGGGCCCTGGAGACACGCGCGGCCATTTTTCCCGCGCACCCCGGCCCCCGGCCTACCTCAATTGGGTGGCCCGCCATTCGGGAAAAGCCAGTTGGGCCTGGGCTTGTGTGCGGTGCCCATTGTGCCACCGGCAGGCATGCGCGCGCGCGCGCGCGCGCGCGCAGACATCGGGAGCGTGACCGGAGATCGGCCGAGATCACCAACGTGTCGCACGCACCCATGCCCCGGCTCCGGCCTCTCGGTCCCGGGGGATCCCCCCCGCATCCTGAGGCAGGGGCACCTCCTACGGGGGGGACACACAGCACGAGACAGTCTCCCGTCCTCCCCCTTCCCCTGATCTGCCCAGCGTCCCCCCCCCCCCCCCCTGGTCACAGCGGACATCTTTGATCTGCGTCTCCGGGCCCGGGGCAAATTTAGGAGACACTTCGGCTGGCCGCGGGCCCCATGCTCACGAGTCAATCATGCCCCCCTCCCTCCCCCCCCCCTTCCCCACGCTTCCCCTCACACCCACTCCCGCAGTACTCCCGCCCCCGCCCCCTTCTCCAGGCGCCGCCCCCGCTCTTCGACCGGCGGGTGTTGACCTTACTTTCCCTCGCCCCCTTCCCCTCCTTTCCCGCGTGCACGCGCGCGCGCCCCCTCTCTCTCCCTCCGCCCCCCTCTCTCTTTGTCTCGCTACCAATCGACACAGTTCTGGCCCGACCCCGCCCCCTCCGAAGCTCCGATGTCCGGGTTTGCCCCTCCCGCGGCGGTGGGTCTCCGCCGGCCGGGCACCGCCGCACCGCCGGTCGTCTCCCCGGCTCTTGGAGGGACTGCCGACCAGCAATACAAGCTCCGGCAACTGCAGCTGGCCATCGACCGCCGGGACTTGGCAACCCTCCGGCGGCTGGCCCTTGCCCCGGGTGGCCTGATGACCAACCACATCCGCCAGCAGGTGTGGCCGCTGTTCCTCGGGCTCGAGGCGCGCAGCCTGCCCCTCGAGGCAGATGGTGACCCTGCCTACTGGAACTACCTTGGTGCGCGGCCCGGCTCCCCCTGCATCGGCGCCATCCCGCCCCTCCCCCCTCCCCCCCCGCGCTCTTTCTCCTTCTCCCCCCTCTCCGGTCCCCGCCGCTGACGTTCCCGGGCCCCGCGCGGCGCGCCGCTGCCCCGCCCCACTCTGTCGGTTCGCCGTGCGACCGACCAGACTATGCGGACACCCCGCACAAGGACGACGGCCAGGTGCAGCTGGATGTCCACCGGTCTAGTTCGCACTTCTTGCCGGTTGTGGCCCCGCAGCAGGTGGCTCAAATCGCCCGGCTACGTGTTGAACGCCTGGCCCGGCGCGACCAGCGGGCCCAGCTGCGCCAGGCTCGCGCCCTCCGCCGGGGTCTGCCCCTCCCGCCGGCCTCGCCCTCGTCCTCGGGCTTGGGCTCTTGCGATTCGCGTGCGTCCCCCCTTCCCCCGGGGCTCTTCCCTTCCTCGCCCTTGGGCACCGGCCCGGTCGCTGACTTCTCCTCCATAAAACGCTCACTTTTTTCCCTCTCTCTCTCTCTCTCTCTCTTTCTTCCTCCCCTATCTTCCTGGCATGTGCAGTCGATGAGAGCAGTCCCGATGTGCCTCAGACCGTCCCTCTGGCGGTGGATTTCCTCCACTACACAAACCTGGACTCGGGCTACAGCTCCAGTTCCTTTGACGAGTCGGAGTCCGATGACTATGACGACGACGAGTTGGCCTCGGCGGCGGAGGAGGAAAACGACACCGACCAGGAGGACGACGACCTCAACCGCAGCAGCAGCAGCAGCAGCAGCGACAGCAGCAGCTCCTCCCTGGCATCCTTCCACTCGATGCGGTCAATGGTTCCGGCCATCCACGCCTTCCCTGCCGAGGATGACCTTGCGTCCGGGGGCCCCGGCGACACCTTCCGCCCGGGGGCCCCTCTCTCGCGCGGGGAGGGGCTCAGCTCCAGCGACTCGGAATTTGCCGACACCGAGTCCGGCTATCCGCCGGGCGAGGAGTTCGGCACATCCGGCTTCCTTGGCATCCGGCCCGGGTCACGCGCCATGCCGGGCCCGGGGTCCATCACCTCCACCACCGGCACCGGCACCGGCACCGGCACCGGGACCGCCGTCATCAGTGATGTGGATTCCGGATGCTCGTCCTCCTGTCCCAGTCCCTCGGGGGTGGGCTTCGCCGAGCCACGGGCGGTGTCTCGCTCGGCGCCCCCATCACCCGCTCGGGCCCCGGTTCCAGGCCAGCTGCAGCCCATTCGGCCAGCGCCTCGTGGCGGAGCCAGCGCCTCGGCCTTCCACCTGGGGGGCGCCCCGGTCCCCGGGGCCAGCCACTCCTTCATGTCAGTGTACCAGCCGCGACGCATTGTCCTCGCCACCGGCCAGCGCCCCGGGTCGGCTCTGGCCGATCGGCCACCACTGCCACTGGCCATGGGCGCCGCCGGGGGCAATGGGTCCGCCTTTTTCGGCGGCAGCGCACACGACTTGCATTTCTCCACCGGCGGCGCTTCCACTCCTTTGAGTGGCTACCTATCGTGCATGTCCGATGCCGAGCTCGACGCCGAGGAGGGGGACCTGGCCATCGGGTGCGCTCTTCATCATGGGGGTTGCCTGAATGTCGACCACCTTCACCCCGGCCCGGCGGTTGCCACGGTGACGACTTCCACCCCCGCCGCCGGTGGCCCTGCCCGTGACACTCCCTCTCCGTTGCTGGCCTCGCCACCGGCTTTGTTGGCCTCGCCGCCTCCCTCGCCGCCGGCCCCGATGCGCTCCTCGGTCTCGTCGTCGGTCCTCGGTGCCGGGTCGTCCCTTTGCCGGTCGCCCTCGGACCCGGGGGCCATCAGCTCACGCAGCCGGCGACCGACTGCCCCTTCCCCGGCCCCGGCCCCGGCCCCGGCCCCGGCCCCGGCCCCGGCCCCGGCCCCGGCCCCGACCCCCGTCCATCCTTTGGACTATTCCAGCCTGGACCTTTCCCGGGATCCGGTGTACAACGATCTGAAGGGCCAATTGCATGGGGTCATCCACGCGGTGCTGGTCCGGCACCCGGAGCTTCACTACTACCAGGGGTTGCACGACGTGGCGGCGGTCCTCCTGCTGGTAGTGGGCCCGGCCATGGGTGCCCTGCTGCTGGAGCGCATGGCCTGTGCCAATGGCCTGCTCCGGTGCAACCTCTCGGTGGATCTGCAGCCGGTGTTGCACCAACTGGCTCGGATTTTCCACCTCCTGGAACAGATTGACCCCGAGCTCCTGGGCCACATCAATACGGCCGGCACGCGGCCCTACTTCGCCCTGGGCTGGGTGCTGACCTGGTTCTCGCACGACATCGACGTGCCGGATGTGCGCAATCGCATCTTTGACGCCATCCTGGCCGCCAGCAATCCCGACCAGTGGGCCGGCTGGTGTGGCCGGGCCGGCTGCGGGGCAAACCCCGAGGCATTGGCAGATGCCGAACCGGCGGGTCCGGCCGATGACCAGGCCCGGGCAAGTGCCGGGGCAGGGGCCGGGGCCGGGACCGGGACCGGGATCGATGTTGGTACCAGTGCTGGCACTGATGCCGGCTCCGAGGGCGATGGTGAATGCCCGGTGCACATGGTCGGCGCCTACAATCAGACGGTCATCTACCACTGCATTGCCATCTTGCGTGGGGCCCGGTCCTTCATCTTGGGAATGCCTGCCGAGTTCGAGGTCCTCCACTCGCACATGGGGCGCCTGGCCTCACAGCGTGCCACCACCATCCCCGCCTTCGATCGCATCATCTCGGAGGCCATTCACATTCAAGCCCAGTTCCCGCTGGACGAGTTCCCCCTCTCCCTGGACGAGGCGCTGGCACTGATTCACCGGCCACCGCCGGCCCCGGCGGGCTTCGGTGGCGGGCCGACGCCGGTCGACTCCGAGGACCCGGACGGCCAGGCGACAGGCCCCTCACCGGCGGTGGTCCTGTCGTCGATCCTCCGCCGGGGTACCCTCACCAGCCAGCTGGCCCTGCAGCATGAGCCCTTTTACCGGCTGATGAATCGCGATGGCCGCTGGCTGCGGACCATGCTCGGCATGAAGCTTCGTCCCGATGACACTCTCCTCTCACTGATTGGGACTTCCTTCGGCACGATGACCATCGCCGGGATCATCTTGACCGCCTTTACCATTGCCACATCGCCCGGTGGCGGGACACCCTTCCAGTAGCGAGGGGGCCACCATTGTGAGAATAGATTTCCCCTGGTCCTCTCCTCGTTGTGTGGCCATCATTGGGGCCTTGTGCCCGTCCTTCGGGTCATGTGCCCAGGTGGTGGGTCGGGACAGAAGGCGCAGGGCAGGGGAGTGGTCGTAGCCAGGGGGGGGGGGGGGGGG